AGACCAGGAGTCCAGGCCCCCCCCTCCTCCCTCAGACCCGGGAATCTGTGTCCCATCCCCTCACTAAACTGCAATCTCCATGAGGGCTGGAGCTTTGTCTGTCTTTTTCGTCATCTCACGATGAGTTTCCGCACCCCAAACCGGTTAGCCACTCAATAAATGTTGATTTATTTGAGGATCCACGTGTGCGGTGCCCGGGCAGGCACTCAGGCCACAGCACTGGGAAATCCACTCCTAGTCCACTTGGAAAACCAGGAATCTGGTCTTGGCTCTCCTTTCTTGACCTCTCCCAGCCCCTCCCCACTCCCGGCCCTGGAGACAGACAGAGGACAGGACACAGGGACACACAGAGAAGACACTGCTCTCTTTATTTGGACCACATGGGTGCTGGCCAGCCCTTGGGAGAGGAGACATCCCCAACATCCAGGTAGGGATGGGGCACCTGGGGACCACGCAGAGGACCTGAGACCCAGGGCCAGATCTCTAGGCTGCCGAGTCTCGGGAGTGGGGTGTAGAGCTCTGAGAGAACAATCTAGAATTCTGGAGACAGAATACAGAATCTCAGAAATGGAATCTGAAATTCGAGCAACACCTCTGGGACTGAGTGAGAACGTGGAGGGTATAACTGAGCGTTCTAGAGGCGGGTTCTAATTCCAGGACCTGACTTTAGAAGTTAGAGATGGGGGACGTGGCCTCTGAGGGTCCCGTCAGACTCTCCAGTTTTAGGGTCTGACTCTCTGTGGATGGAGCCAAAGCCTCCAGTGAAGAAGCCTGAGACGCTGAGGGCAGTTTGAGGGGTTCAGAGAGTGGGGTTCCACCTTCGAGGGGCTGGGTCAGGTCCTCAGAGAGGTGGTTTGTTGCCTCAGGGGGCAGAGTCCCGGGTTCCACCGCTGGGTCTACGGGAGCAGGGTCCCCAGCCTTGTAGAAGCGGGCGAAGGTCTCAGAGGGCCTGGCCTGGGGCTGTGGGGCGAATCCAGCGGCCAGAGCCAGTTCCCCAACCCGGTCGGAGAACCCCTGCAGCTGCTCCTGCCGCAGGTCCACCAGATACCTGAGATAGAGGGACAGCGTGTTAGGGGACCCGGCTTTCGGTCCCCAGCCTGGTCCCCTGCCCTGTGCTCCGCTGACTCACCGGGCTAATTCCACAGTCAGGCATCCTCCAGGGGCCACGCAGGCCCCGAGCTCAGGGCTGAGAAGATGGACCATCCTGCAGAGGAAACGGGAGGGCGGAGGCTCAGACTTTCAGGTCTCGAGGGAGGAGGGGCTGGAGGGGGAAGCCTAGGACACCCCAGGCCCTCTTACCCACAGGCCACGTAGAGAAGCTGGAACCGGCCCTTGTAGCAGCTCTTGTGGTGCAGGGTCTGGGCAGAACCGAGGGGCAGGAAGTGGACAGTGAAGGATCCCGGGCCAGGCGCTGCTGGGGAAGACCAGCAGAGGTAGTGAGGCAGACACACAAAGCCTGGAGGTTACACTGCTTGGCTGTCTTGAAGCCCTTTGTCATCCTTTCTCTTAGGCGGATTCCTGGGAAATTCTGGGATGGTCAGCCCGGTAGGCAGAAACCCATTTTACAGACCGAGCAACTGAGACTCAAGAGAGGGAAAGAGAGTGGGCCATGCCAGACAGGGCATCCAGACCCGGGGGAGGGCCAGGTTGGGGATGGTTAGGGGGCACGGCCAGATTTGGGGAGAGGGGTGTCTGTCCAAAAGTGACCTGGGCCCCAGCAGCACGTTTGAATGGTCGGCATTTCGCAGGTGGGATCAGAATTCAGCCACTGGAATCCAGGGTGCTAAGAACGGTGTCGGGACTTAGGAGGGGGAGATTACAGAGGAGGAGAGGAACATGCTGTCAGGGAGGGCCCCCCCACTCGCCAGGCCCTGGGGACCAGAGCAGTCCGCGCGGACTCGAAACACCTGGAGCCCGGAGCCCGGGCGGGGTCTGGGTCCCACTCGCCTCGAGGGTGATGTGTGCCCTTGGTCCCGCGAGCCCGCCTCCCATCCCAAGGGTTAGAGCGGAGCCCCTCGCTTACCAGGCTCCGGGGTTCCGTTTATGTTGCCNTACCAGGCTCCGGGGTTCCGTTTGTGTTGCTGGGCACCTGCGCGGGGTCCCCCTGGGTGGCGCTCGGGTGCCCCCAGGCGGCCATCGCGCGGAACAGCTCTGTCACATTGTGCTGCGAGATGTCGCCGGCAGTCTGGGGGGGGGGGCTGCGCTAGGAGTAGCCACCCCTCCCACCCCCAATCCCCGGAGCTAGCATCTGAGCTCGGATTCCCGGGACTGAGTTTAGGAAACAGAGAAGGGTGGAGCTTAGCCCGTGGAGGCGGAGCCCAGGGCGGTGTGGGCGGGGCCTGGCTGCAGAGGGCGGGGCCTTGAGAACCTGTCCCGGGCGCACACCTTGACCGGCTGCCCGTTGCTGGTCCGCAGGAGGCTCTTGTCGTCCGTTTCAATGCCGAAGGCTACGAAGGGCCCCGTGGCTATGTCCCCCCAGTACCCTCGCGCTGCCACGCGCTCCCCGCGCTGGGAAACGGGGAGAGAGGAGGTGGGTGAGGCTGGTGTTGGGGACCTGGGCTCCTGGGTTCCCCCCAAAGAAGGAGTTGGCCTGGGTACCGAATGGACACGCACGTGGCTCACAAGGCGGCCGGATGCCAGAGTCCGGTTGGGCACCTGGTAGGCGCTGGCGTCTCTGAGTTCAAAGGCGACGCCAGTGTCCCTCCAGCGCCTGAACTCCCTGATGTGGATGACTTGGGCCTGGGGAGGGGGAGGAGGAAGAGGGGCCTCAGTGGATCCGGCAGATGGGGCCCGGGCCCTTCCCCCTGCACACCCAGGACTGGGGGTCCCAGTCCCCTCACCCCGCGGTCATGCAGCTTCATGTGCAGGTCCCAGTCGCTGACACCGCGCCGGGAGTCATAGCGGGAGCCCAGGTAGTGTCGTAGCCTCATGTCCCAGAGGCGGGTCACGGGGAAGGCCTGGGGCCCCTGGTCCCCGCCGGCCCAGAAGCGGAGCACGGCCTCCAGGGCGTCGCGCTCGCGGAACTGGGCATCCAGGCAGGCGCGGGGGACAGGGAGAGCGGCTGCAGGGGGGCGGCCTTTCCTGTCTGACTCCCCCTCCCACCCCAGGCTGTAGGCACGACTCAGAGAGTAGAAGCCACCCCCTAGGCTTCTCAAATGAGGAAACTGAGGCTCAGAGAGGAGGAGCCACCCCCGAGGCCAAATCCCACTGGGAGCTGTGGAGCTGCGGTTCAAACTCGGAGTCCCCAGCCCACTCCATCAACGCAAACCCTTTTGGACCGCTCATCCCATTCTTCCCGTGGCCACCCAGACCCCAGGCGGTGACAGGAGGAGGCCAGACAGAGCCTGGCCTGGCGGAGTCACCTTCAGGGCGCCCAGGCTGAGCCAGGGCAGCTGCTCCGCCAGGCGGTCGGGCTCCGGGACCAGCTGAGCCAGGCGGTCTGCCTGGGCGCGCACGAAGGCGGCCACCGGGGGGCGCAGCAGAGCGTTGCCCCACACTTCCAGGAAGGCCTCACTCCTCTCT